AAATACCAATAGAAATTTTTATCTACACATTTTATATATGTATATATATGAGTCATTCAGCAACAAAAGGAAAACAGGTAACTAGAAGCACTGGCTTTTGTTTCATAGAAATTTAATTTTCCTTTTAAAGCTTTTTTTTTTTTTTAATTGGCAATAACTTCTAATAACTTATGTATTTTATAAACACATGATCTATATTTACATGCATGTATATATAAGCAGCAAATGGTTTATATGTTATTAATTTGCCAAATATTCTGTTGCTTTCTTACACTAACACATTAAGTAGGTCTGTCTTAAGGTGCTTTAAATATTTTGTACATACTCTGATATTATCTCCTCATTGAGAGCAAATTCTAGTATTCAAGCCCAAAAGCATCTTGCATATGTAACATAAAGTTCCAGTTTCGGTTCAGCTAAAAAAGCTATAAAAGCTAAAATATGTTACCTGTCCTTATAGACACAGTAGGCCACAGAGTAGCATATGGTCTATTACAGCTACTGAGGTTTTTAATTACTACTTCCATGGGCAGAGAGAACAGTTCAAAGCCACTTCCAACTGAGCATCTGCTGCCTCTTACATCCAGGACATAAAAAGTGCAGTATGCATGGTCCAACCAGACCAAGTGGTGTATAAACATCAATTTAAGCCCTAACTGTGCTGTGAGCATTGCTGTCCCATAGGTATAGCAATCTTTTGTTGCTTAGTGATAGAAGTACCTCCTCACATAGAAAACTAGTTAGCATCTTTCAGGAAATACAAAGGGATCGAAAGAAATATTGCATGAATCTTAAACCAAAAAAACAATGCAGGTACCCTACTCCACAAGTAAGTCAAACTGTTAGGACAATCTTGGTATTAAGTGAACACGAAGCCACAGTGATGAGTACCAAGGTTTTTAGCAGACATACCCTAGCAAAAGAAACAACTTTTCCCTTAAGCCTCTGTACTTGTTTTGGCTGGGGTAAGTTAGTTTTCTTCACAGTGGTTGGTATGGGTTTGTGTTTTGGTTGATAATACAGAGGAGGTTTTGTTATTGCTGAGTAGCACTTGCACAGAGCCTTTTTTGCTTTTCATACTGCCAGGTTGGTGAGGTGATGGGGGTGTGTGGGAGGTTGGGAGAAGGCACAGCTGGGACAGGTTATCCCAGCTGACCAAAGGGATACTCCAGACTATATGGCATCATGCTCAACATATAAAGCTGGTGGAAGAAGGAAAAGAGGGATGTTCAGAGTGATGGTGTCTGCCTTCCCAAGCCACCATTACGTGTGATGGGGCCCTGCTCTCCTGGAGAGGCTGAACACCTGCCTGCCCATGGGAAGCAGTGAATTAATTCCTGTTTCGCTTTACTTGCACATGCGGCTTTTGCTTTTCTTACTAAACTGTCTTCATCAAAACCCAGGAGTTTTCTGGCTTTCACCCTTCTGATTCTCTCCCTGATCTTGCTGGTGAGGGAGTGAACAAGCAGCTGTGTGGGGCTTGGCTCTGGCTGGGGTTAAACCATGACAGTTTCTTATTCAACTTCTTAAAACACAAACCTTTCTCTTTTTCTCTCCTCTTTACTTCCATCTGTCATATGTCCTTTCACTGCAAAAGCAGCAGCTCTCAGGGCCAGAACTTTGGAAGGTTTGCAGAATGGGATAAAAGGAACAAGCCTGGTAACCAAGGCAGTATGGAAGCTCCTAAAATGCAGGTTTTATAGCAGAAAGGTGAGGAATGGCTGCATTAAGAAAGGAAGGAGTTCTGGTTTTGTTTTTTTTTTTTAACATGAGTGTAACAATTTGGGGAAGGAAAAACTGTGGGTGAGGTACAGAATATTCAGCTCATTACTCCTGCTAGGACACTGGCTGGAGATGCAGAGAGAGCGTAGGGAGACGTGCATGCTTTTGGGGCAGCAAACGGGAGTTAGCCACCACGGCAGAAATAAAGAAGAGAGCTCTAAAACTGAAACGCTTGAGTAAGGGCCAAAGCAATTTAGTCTTCATGGAGGTTTCAATGGATAACAAAGGAATCCTTTTCCTTCAAACAGCGTAGGCAAAGCCATCTCTCTTCATTAACTGACTGAATGGTGTTAAAAAGGCACAAAAAAAGGACTAGGCTTTGTAATACCACTTTGTATTACTGGCACATGCAAACAAATTCAGTTCTGTAGAGATGTAGTGGCACATCATCACAGTAAATTATATCTTTTACTGCTCTGAGGCAGAAACAAATATATAATTTATGTGCATTCATGTACATAGATATAAAAAACAAAAACACCAAGAGAAAAGCACAAAACACTATCCCTTTTAAACCATTCAGTTTTTAATTATATTTCAAAACAAGCAGGGAAGTTGTACAAAATAATGCAGCATAAGCAATTTTTTATCTAATGGAGCAGTTGAGAAAAAATTCCTTAATCTTAAAATAATGTTTCCCCTTTTTGAAGTCAGGTTGTTTTTTATTTCAAAAAAAAACCTAATAAAATAGTAATTTATTGGTAGTATGGGGTTATGAGGCAATGAAAGTAAAATGTTGAAGAAAAATACATTTACATTTGTCCGGAGCGCCTCCTTAATACGAAAGCTTTCTAAACGAAAGAGGAGATGTGGTGTGTGTTCTTACTTGAAAAGATTTCTAGCTTTGTATTTTTTCTTAGACTGTGTCTCACAGATTATAGAAATATGGCAACTTAACAACGCCCATCTTTGAAAAATATATATACCTGTTCAAAAGCCTAATATCCATGTCACCAGTTTTCTAAAGCACAACACTGGGGCACACAGAAGGCAGTTTTCATCTTGGTAGCAATATTTGGAAGTACAAAGTGGACAAGGACAAAGGACCAAACATTAGAACCAAACACATTCCTTCTTTTTTAATCAATATCTTGTTAGACTGGTGGGTTTCATTCATTAATCTTTCGGAAAGTGAAAAATGAAACAGATCTACCATAACAGCAAAAATAAAACTGAAAATTAAATTCATTCTATTGGAATTGCTTACAAAGAGTGCTGGTTCATCACACACAACTTAGTCAAAAGAGTTTGGACTTCAGAGTACTCATTTCTTTGAGGTAATGTATTTATAGGTAAATTTTGAATCCAAGAGACCTGAAAACAAACTTTCTAAACTCTTTTTCTTATACTGTGCACATTTTTAAAATCATGAAAGTTCCACCAAAAAAAGTTTTTAAAAGTATTGTGTTTTGTGTTTAATAGCTTCAAACAAACCTAAAACTGAACTTCATGTGACTGCTCTGTTGCATCTAAATGTTCACTATATTATAGCTGAGCCAGGACACACAAAAAAAGCTCCAAAAATAAAATGCCTGGAGGTTTGCAATGAATTGGTTTTAATTTCTTCAGCAACTGCTGCATAGTGATTGATCTAGTATCGTACAACACAGGAAATTAGCAATTAAAGGCTTCCATGCATCCAGCATGAGATCCTACAAATCCTGTTATCCACGGGAGCAAAATTAAAAGAGCAAGAGGAATCAACAAAGCTAAAAAGTGCATATTGTAAGCTGTGCAGAATTTGTCCTTTGGTGAAAAACATGAAAACTCTGCACAGACTGCACACATGGGAGCATTTAATGTAGGATTATAACTCAATTAAGACAACTATTTCTCTGATCCTGTAATTCTAAGGCATTTTGCAGATGGCTCTGAATTCCAGGCTGTAATACAAATTTCTTTCTGTTTTCTATAATATAAACTCACATATTATGTAAAGACACATTTAATCTTCTGTTTAGGAAAATAATCTTCACGATGTAGGTCAAAGGATACACTACTGTTCTAGATGAATCTAAAATAAGGTAAATCAAATTAACACACACATTAAATGTGAACATCATCCATATATGCAAATATGGTATTAACAATAAAGCTTAACTGATACCCTTGTTTCCTTAAGGAGTTATTGAGCACATCCCACAGCACAGGGAAAGAAGATTCCCAGCCCAGCAGGAGTCATGCCAATCCCAGAACTGGAGGCAGCATCACACACAAGGCTGCGCAAGCAAATTGCATGAGATTGCAACTTCAGACTCCAAGTTAGCCTGGAGATTGGTGTGTTACAGGAATAAACATGCCCTTTCTCTGTTCCAATGTGAACGAAAGTGCAACTACACTATCATTAATCATATGAGACTGGTTTGCTTCAGATTTGTCAAAACTAATTCAGCTTTGCTGAATATAGCGACAGATACCGGATTTATCTAGACCGGGAGAAGAGAAAAAGGTTATATAAACTTTGCTAACATAGCCAGACAAATTATATTGTTTATCCATGCCTAAACAAAAGGTCACTATTAGCTCAGGGTTAACTAAAACTTCTTAGCTAATCTCTGACCTAATTTTGACCTCTCCTGTTAATCGCAGAAAAACTTTCAGTTAATATATTGATTAGTTGTGTTTACATCCCCCAATTCTGTAGTTTCTTGCCTTGCATCTCATAAATTAAAGACAAAACATCTTTTTTTAAGGTTAATTAGTAGCCAATTAGCTCCATGTTGTTACCTAGAGTGGGACTGACAGTAAAGACAAACATTAAGCATTTTAATCTGTTATACGAAGGAGGCATTTATGTATAAGAAGAAAGGATCAACAGACCCTTTATTTTACTCTGTTTTTTCCTCCAGATCATAGAATATTATTTCAGAAAACTTGTGAAAATACCCAATTCTTCTGCTTCCAGCAATTCCCATTAGAAAGAGGTACAGTTATCTATCACCATTAGAAGTGAAAACCTACAGAACACATGAAATCTAAGATCTGTAATCCTGTTAGTAGGCTGTAACCAGACATAATCATTTGTCATTGCATCATACTTCTTACAGAGCCATTTACATTGGACTTGTTTAATTCCTTTAGTAGCATAACCATTGCATGTCAAGATACGGGTATGATACATTCATATCTACAAGATCTCCCCATTTGCAAAAGACTAGTTTTTACTCAAGAGTGAAGCACCTCAGTTAAAATTCCAAAAATCATTTTTCTACATTGCCTTTTTTTTTTTTTTTTTTTAAGTAGGAGTTGTTCAGTTTCTGGTAAAAACATCTGCAGGCTTAATTTAAAAATTAAGTCTGAGAGAAACAAAACCTGACTGCATTGTAAAATATATGTAAATTTACAAAAAGGAGTTCTAACAATATAAGAAATAAAAATCTCAAAGTTAAAAAGAACTATCCAAATACCATGCCTTATGTTCATCTGAAACAAGTAATATAAGGAATTACAGTTTGAAAGCCTACTGTAATTAGATACTGAAGCTAAAAAGCTCAGCAGAAATTCAATATAATTCTAAATGCTGAAGCCTTACTGTCCCATCACATTCATATTCATATTTCTTGTCTTTTTGTACTGATAAAAGCCTCCCGAAAATAAATTTATCCAGTCATTTTGAGGATCGTATTTGACACTCAAGTGATAGCGTAACTCTAAATTATGTTCAGAGTTTTCTTTCTCTTCTTTCCAGGAAGTGAGAATGATCTTCCATCATCTGAAAAAAGGCACCTGGCCTACTGCAAAAATGAAAAAGCTTGTCCATTACTGTTTGTCATGTTGGTAGATAAACTCTTTCCTATGAAGGTCTAAAAGTTGTTTTATTATAGTACAGTCAACCATTTGGATAAAATCCAGAGTCCTATTCATTTGTGAGCTGCAAATAAATTCCACTGCACAGTCAGTACAGTTTTCTTATATTTTAACATTATTCACCAAAAGCTCCATTCTTCTGAGTTTGCGTTTATTCTTTGGCATTGGCTTGTCATATAAGCCATTTTTGAGAAGATGTTCCTTGCTGTGATGGATCTGGGCACCATGCTGAAGCTGGAAAGAGCATAAAGCTTGAAGTGGATGGAGTATAGTCTGCAAAAAGATGAAGGGGTGGGGGACAAAAAACCCAGCCTTTTAGTAAGATATTTTAAAGACATCAATTATTCCATCAATTTTTATTCAATGACTACTTAAAAATGCTGATAAAATATAATTTGGATGATAAATGCTGATAAAATATAACCTTTGGAGACACAGAAAGCACAGCTGAATAAGAGATGTACTGAAAAGAACCAGACAGCAGTCATATATTCACCTACCTGCTGCCATCCCTCACTCCTTCCTCAAATCCACTCAATCCTGACTTCAGCCCCAGCTACATTACTGTAAGTTATGGCTTTGACTTGACCTTAGTAATGGACTACAATCAATTACTGTGGCTCGGTCAACAAGCGGTAATAAAATAAGCCACAATAACTAAGCTGTTTGTGCTTGCACAAAAGTCCCTTGAGGCAGGGTTTTAGAAAGAGAGGAGGGACTCATGGTCGAGGCAGCGGGACTGCTATCCTGGACTGTATCCATGTTTCCAGCAATATTTATACCTAATGATGCCACACAAACCAATTTTATCTCAAGAGGTTCCTAACCGTAGATTCTTCATTTTCTGGTTGCCTGACTCAGTATCACACAACCTCATGTGCAGATGTGTACAACAATCACAAATGTAACTGCAGTCAGCAGGAGCTAAGATTCTAATGAGAAAAACATGACTCTTACGAGCACAGAGGAAAATCAAGTGACTTATACTAGGCATCAAACTAAGTGCCCGTTTTTAACTTCCATAGCTTTCAACTTCAATTCACCATCTTATATGCTGGGAATAGCACTCAATTCAGAGAGCTTTCATGAATGTAGCTCTTGGCTACATTTCAACACTTCTCAACACTTTGAGAAACAGGTAATTTTGTCTTTGAAAAGTAGGCTGAGCCAGTTCTGACTGATAAGGATGAAGGAATACAGGTACCAGAATACCAGATGGGTAACTGTGGACATGAACTAAACCCTCAATAAGACAGAAGTCCTAATGAAGAAAAAATATGTTGTTGTAGCACAACAAAGAAAAAATAAATATAACCCCCCACATATATACACAAGTTTCTTGAAAAGCCTCTTTACACAGAGTTCCAATTTCTTGTGTGTCTACAGACTTTATCCAAGTCTAGTTTTAAATGCAATTGATTTAATGCTAAGGAAACTCTCTACTGTCACAGAGGCAGATATGGAGGTGGCACACTATACACTATGCAAGTGGTAGGAGTAGTTTTTGACCTGAGAACCTTTTATAGTAGACAGAGGTTGAGTATCAAAATATTAATTAGCTGATGCAAAGATATATGAGCAATGAAGGGTGAACAGCAGCAAGTAGTGGGTACATGGATGAGCTTTAAATCGCTTTTCACAGATCCTTCTGTACTACATCCTGAGCACACGATCAGATTGCAGACCAGGGCCTATGGTGCAAAACTACTCATAGGTGTTTTTCAGAAGGCTTTTTAAAATTATATTACTAATGTCAGCAACAAAAGATTAAGAAGGACATTATCTTAATGACCTCTTCCATCACAGACTAGTGGGATCACAACTTACAAGGAAAGGCTAACGTTGATTTAGTATTCTTTGACCTGGGATAAACTTAAACTCAAGAACTATTAAGTCCCAAATTCCTCCAATGACATATAAGAGTTGTGAGTTGGCTGCTAGGAAGACATAACCCAGTGGGTTGCATTCCATGCCTGCAGGACTGCTGGAGGTCAGTGGCCCTGTCTTACAACAGCATTTAATCTTCAAGATAGCTGTGAGTGGGTATTCAGATCATCTCTGCTGTCTAGTTTTTGCAGAGAAAACCTTACTATTTTCCATGCAGTACTATACTCAGTCTCCTGTCACAACCTGTTATCAGGTTTTTGAGAGTCAAAGACCACCTTGCTGTGCTTCAACTTCAAAGGATAATTAAAAATTATCAATCTATTAAAAATGATAATGGTTATTTGACTTCAATAAATATTCTGAGATCAACACATGCTAAAAAGGAAATTAATCCTATCTGACTGCTAACTAAATGAAACTTTTCAGTCTAGCACCAGCTACTCCAAACATCTGTCAGCTCAGTAATTTTGAATTCAGATCTTAAGTGAAGTTAACCTTAAATTTAAGGGAGTTGAACAATTTAATGTCCTATGTAAGGGAGACAGGAACTTTACTATCTTCAAATTTTCTCAAGTTTCTCCTATCTTGAAAATGCTCAATTTTAAACAAGTTGTATCCAAAGGTATTTTACAAATTCCCAACAGCCTCATCTGGTAGTACCTGAAGTAATACTGTTCCTCACTAGTAGAATATGAAGAAATTGGGGGATATATGTGAATTTTTCTATGACAGTTTTGTTGTCAACTGAAGTAAATAAACATTTTAAAGTGTGTACACATACATATCATATCCCAACATTTATTGTAGGATGTGCAAATTAAAATTATAAACTCTCCTGACTTTAAGTGGCTTCACATTTTAGCTACCACTAGGAAAAAACACAAGAAAGTCAAAGTCACTGCTTGCCATATTGTTCAGTATCAAAGAAACATAAATCAACTAAATAATCATCATGTTTTTCTGGCTTCATGAAAATTAAGACATCGGAGTGATTTTAGACTATAACTTCTGACAAGCTTGCTAATATACTCCTTTGCTACAAATACCAATCGTACTTTAGAGCGAGCATAACTTGGGTAACATAAAGAGTTCAACACGTACATTCCACATATTAGTACAAGTGAACAGTTGTTAACAGCTACTTAACAGAGTACACAAAATAAAGTAATTTTCTATACACTATAGTTAAGAAATACCCAAAAGAAAGCTGTGTTTTTTAAAAAAATCAGTCTAGCACCTTACATTTGTACAATTTTGTATATTACACATGCCTGGTACATGGTCTATGTTTTGAAGTTTTGTACTAAAAAATGTCAAGTGAACTTAGAAAAACATCACATGAAGAGATAACTACAACACTGCATCTCCACACAACTTTCCCTGCAATATACATAGCAGTACTTCTATTTGCTTGGGTCTAAGTCTCCAGCTGCCTTCTCTACAGATTTTTATTTTGTATTGCAGCAATCACAGCATGTATTTGGCACCTTGAAATCAACTTTTTAAAGAAGTAATATATATGGGATGAGAATCTGAGTCACTCTTCTCATTATATTCAGAGGGACAGGAAGAAGTGTGGAAGAGAGTATTACAGGATAAGAAAATGTGATGGGAAAGAAGAATGAGATAGAAGGAAAGAAGGAACTGGAAGACACTACAACACTGTCATTCTCCCAGTCCCTGCATTTGCCTTTCCCGACTTGGGTGGCGTGGCTGGAGCACTTGCTGTTGAAGACTGAGGCATACAGTTGTTGAGAACATCAGCCTTCTCTTTGTCCAAAGTAGCCAGGTCTCCCATTTCCCTGTAGAGAGGGTCAACAGTATTCCTAGTCTTTCTTTTCCTTGTAATAGATCTACAGAAGTCCTTCCTGTTATCCTTGATATCACTGGCCAGACTCAATTCTAACGTGTCTTCCCTAAGCTTACCCCTAGCTTCCTGTACAATTTCCCCATGTTCCTTCCAGGCCACCTGTCCTCATTTCCACTTTCTGAAAGCTTCTTTTTTGGTCTGAGTTTGCTCAGCAGCTCCTTATCCATCCATGGGGGCCTCCTGGCATTTTTGCCTGATTTCCTCCAATGCTGGGATGCATCATTCCTGAGCTTGGAGGAGGTGATCCTTGAAATTCAGCCAGCATTCTTGGGCCCCTCTGCCCTCCAGGGCTCCATCCCCTGGGACTCTACCAAGTAGTTCCTTGAAGAGGCCACAGGCTGCTCCTCCTGAAGTCCAGGGTAGTGAGCTTGCTGAGCGCCTGAGGATCTCAAACTCCACCATCTCATGGTCCCTGCAGCCAAGGCTGCCTCAGAGCACTGAATTCCTCACCCTGTTGGTGAGCACAAGGTCCAGCATGACACCTGTCCTTGTTAGCTCCTCAATCACTTGTATAAGGAAGTTGTCCTTGACACATTCGAGGAACCTCTGGGATTGCTTGTGCCCTGCTGTGCTGTCCCTCCAACAGATATCAGGGTGGTTGAAATCCCCCATGAGAACCAGGGCTTGTGAGCCCCATGAGAACCAAGGCTGCTTCTATCTGCCCAGAGAGGGCTTCATCCACACCATCCTCCTGATCAGGTGGCCTGTAGCAGACCCCAATATAACATCCCCTGTCCTCCCTTTAAACTTCACCCAGAAGCTCTCAGCTGGTTGCTCATCCTTCCTCAGGCAGAGTTCCATACTCTCCAGCTGGTCCTTGACAGAGAAGGCTACATCCCCTCCTTGACTGGCAGCATTGGGACAGATAGGTGCCCTCTCCTGAAAAATCTAGTTTAAAGCCCCATTCACCAGATTGGCAAGTCTCCAACCAAAGACACATTTTCCCTCCCTTGTCAGACCGACCCCACTACCTCCCCAAGAAATTAAGCTTAGGAAAGCAAGTCCCATGGTCTGAGTAAAAAATCCTGACTACAGTCCCATCACTTTAAACATTTGCTGACCTGTCAGATTCAGCTGGCCATTTCGAGACCCTCTCCTTTAACCTGAAGGACTGATGAAAAAACTACTCGAGCTCCAGAGCCCTTTACTGACTCTGTAATTCCCCAGACTGCTGCAAGCTCTCACATGGAACACTAATAGTGGGTAATAATCAGTGGGTTTAACTAGGCTTGGCAGCTTCTCAGTGACATTCCTTATCTGGGCTCCCTGAAGGCAACACACCTCTCTTGAGAGCACGTCAGGCCCTTAAGAGATGAGCATCTCATAAAGCAGAGTCACCCACTACTATCACCCACTGCCTTGGTTGAAATAGTTGCTAATTTCTTTATTTGTGGAGCAGGTTGGGCTGCCCCAGTTAGCTCCCTCTGTGTCAGGTGTTGCCTCATTAGCCTGTGGAGCTACAAAGCTAACAAACATTCAGCTTGTACCTAACAAGTTTCCTTAGCAATCTCACAGCTATGTTGGGTAAAGAACAGGAAAACCGCAGAGCCTTTATGGACAAACATGAAGGAATCACAGTAGTCTGAACACATTGAAGAAAAATGGTTTCCATTGGTACACTCTTGTTTAGTTTCCTATTCAACAAAACCATTGCAATGTCATTAAGATTTTAACTGTCAAATGTGTTACACTAATAGCAAAGTACCTTTGCTGCTCCTCTACCATTCATAGAAGAAAAACCCAGGTGTTTGAAGTTACATACCTCTTGTATGCTCTTATTCTTTTCCATGATAGTAAGAGCAATAGCTGCACATTCAAGTGTAGACAGACAGGTGTTTGTTGGCTGTGTACGAATTACATATTGACTTGAATGATTTGTTTTTAACTGCACCTGAAAAACAGTAAACTCTAGTAAAATAAACAGGTCAGGATAGCAAACCTATTCTCCACACCAAGCAAAACACATCCCCTTTCCCTTTGTGGTCACTTGCCCTTTTTTTGCTGTTTTGCCTCCCAGTAGACAATGAACTTATGCTACTGTTAAGTGTAATACTGTAACACATGTGAGTCACCATCGGAAACAAAAACTGCACATTTGTTACTGTACAAACACGTAAAGGAAATACGACTGTTTCCTACAGAAAGATTAAGTTAAATTTTAGCAACCACAGATATGCTATAACAAAAATAAAATTATTCACTCATGCTTGTTTTATTGCACACTCTAAACAGATACATAATCCCGTGTAATGTACAATGGCCATATAGTCACTAACACTATATACCTTGGCTAAATATTATTTGTCAAGTTCTGGATTAAAGATTTCTAGAAACTACACTTATTCATATAATGTACTAGGTCACTGATTAGGGCTATTTGCTTACCTAAATCATGTTTGAAAATTATTTAACAGCTCTGCCTCAAGCAATAAACACTTTACACCTTGCAAGTTAAAGGTTTTTTAAAAAAAAGAAACTTAATTCAACTACTCCATGGCCTGTTTTATCAGCTCCAAAAGCTTTTACTAAGTTTATAAGCAGTGGTTGAAACACCACAGAATTTACACTATTAGACTCTATGTGAAAATTCAGATATTATTCCTTTATTCCAAAGATTTCCATCTCCACATACACCTAAAATGTAATTTGCAAAACAAGTAATGTTTTAGCAATATTCCTAACCAAAAATTCTCAGTTCCTTTTCCAAAAAAATTCTAGTACAGAACCATAAAGCCTGATGAATTATTCTAAAAGAGCAAGGGTTTTTTTTTAATCTCATCCAAAAAATTGCCTTTTGATTCTTCCTGAAAAACCGAGTGACTGATTCCCATGGCCATCATCATATTGCTCCCATTTTGTTTGCCAGAAGTCTGTCAACATTCCTCACTTCATTCAACACTTTCCCCCTTCACTTTCTCATTTTTGTTTTTATTTGTAATGTTTCATTTTCCTTCATCTCTTTTACATGCAATTACCCATTCTCTAAAGTTCAAAGTGGCTCATTTATAAAAGGAAAACTCCAAGCTGCTGAAGAAACATGAATGAATAAGATCAAATTCCACTGCTTTACCTGATCTCAATTTAATGGAAATAAAAAATAAGAAAATAAAAAGAAAGCAACAAGACAAGAGAAAATGCACTCTGGAAAGTACAAGTAAGTTTGCTCTAAAACCTCAATATACTAAAATACAAGAAAAACCAGAAAACTTTAGCCTTTATCAACTACCTTCTTTAATTTGGTATTGAAAAACAAGAAAAGAATAAACGAATTTAGAAGACAAAATGTAGAATTTGGACATCAGTATATGTAATGAAATTAAAAAGAAAACTAAAAATTAAATTAAATTAAGATTTTCATTTGTTATTCCTCAAGGTTTTCTTTGGTTTTATGCTTCCTCTCCTGGCACCATGTATAGATCTTCATCACAACAGAGTAGGAACACTAGTTATCTGAAGTATACAGAAATCTATGCTGCTGGAAGCTTATAGTCCCTACTTAGAAACTTACAGACAGGTATCAAAAACCAGGGTGAACTCAGTCCACCATTTCTCCAACATGTAACCTGAGCAGCAAAGCAGACATATACCCACACCTTTTCTCAACAGCCACATTCTTCACAGAGTATCTCTACAGAGGTCGAAACCGCCTGATGGACTACCTGCAGCACACGGGCTTCCCCCTCCTTGGGCAGTGCCTTAAGGCACTTTTTTTGTAGAGTTTGGAAGTAGTTGTGTCTGCTGGTTTCTATACTTCATTTCTTGGGTGTCATGCTGTCTCCAGAGAAAGAAAAATTATTCATGATTGCAAGACAACTTCTACAGATAAGAAAAGCAGAAGAAAAGCTGCCTGCACTATGCCACACACTGTGGAGCTCAAAGGTCTGTAAGTTCAGCTCTCAAACAACAGACAATGTATAGAAGGGCAACTTTCTAGTTCTAATAGCAACAGCAGCAGCAACCAAATTCCTTCTTTCCTGGGAAGAATGTGAAAGGATGGAAACAAGTGGTGCCCATCCATTTTTCTGAAATATTACATATTCCCTGGGATAAGATTAAAATACCACAGACAGTGGTGGAGATAGAGGAAGAATACCCGATCAGGACAACTTTCTGCTACAGTTTGTCTCTTTGGTTTCTTTCAGTATACACTGTACCCTAGTCTTTAATCCAGAGCAGCCCAGTATCTACATAAGTGATACTTAGTCATCTGAAATACAGTCAGGGTAGCCTTTATCTATCACAAATTGCACAGATTCACCAAAGTTTCTATCTGAAACTAGGGACATTCACTGAACCAATAAAACCGACAATGCGCTGCTAACTCACAGTATAAACTGAATGCTAAGACAAAGACAAAACAATACAGAAACTAAAACAAATTAGTATAGTTAATACTTATTTCAGACATGAGATGAATATCTTCTTAAAAAAAAAATGCCTAGATATAGGAAACATTTACTGTTCTCAAACTTGACTGGGTAGGAGGATGACTTCTGTCATTTTCAGCCAACAGGTCTAAAACTTGTCTTGTCTTTCGTGGAGTTAATAATTTCAGGTAGGGTATTGCAACAGCCTCATGCAAAGGACATATGGATTCCTTGTCTGTCACTTGCATATCTCAAATCCAGGTGAAAAAGTTTAATTCAGATTTAGAGAAATGTTCATCTCCAGTTAATTTAAACAAAATCACATTACTTACCTCTGACATTAGACTTTAAAAACTCAGAATGCGCATACATAAATATCCTATTCAAGAACATTTCAAAACAACAATCATGATATTTTACAAGCACTTCTCCATTAAATAACAAATACCACAACACAACAATTTACTTTTCTTCTTTTGCTTCAAAGAAATTTGCAAATCATATGTACACTCTGAAATAGTATTAGTTTCTAACAAAATATAGCAATGTCAAGTTGGAAAAACAGCAGCTGATTTAACACCACACATCTAAATAAACAATAACATAACACAGAAGATGGAAACTATCTCAACCAATTCAAACTAGAGTGTAATTTAGATAAACTGAATGCAATTACTTCTGGAATTTAGCCAAGACACTGAAATGAGTGTATCTATTCTCTGTAAGTTCAGGGGAGTTTGGGGACTTAAGTTTCCAAGCCATCAGAAATATGAAGCAACACATAAAATCAAATTTTATTTCTACTGTAACTCAACACCTGTGGTTTCCAAAAGCCTGAATTTCAGTAATTCTCACAAACTGTTACATTAACTTAATAAACACTGGTTTATCTGCCAGTGCACCACTCAATTAGCAAATGCTACAGACTTTGAGCATTTACAAAGGATTTGAACCACAGTAAAAACAGGGACCCTTCAGTGTTTCTCAGGGCTGAGTTTTTCTTCACGGGCCTTCTTTGGACATACCCCAGGCAAGTAACGATCCCAGCTGATCCCATTCAGCTGTTCAAAGCTGACAGAAGAAAAAGTGTTGCCTTGATGGGGTCGAAAACCCACTGCTTGAAATTTTAAAAATTTAAGCCAGTAAAAACAGGAAATTGATTTCTGCTTTTATTTTAAATAACAGAACTGGAGCTCTCACAGAAAGCTCTAAGTGCTTTTCTCAGTCCCCTCCTTAATGGCAATATACTTAACTTTCTACCTTTTCTATGCCAATTTTTTCATCATTATTCTTACTAGCTTTACTTTCCAAATAGAATCCAGCATTATCCAAAATTATATTTGGAAAACATGCATCACCAAGAACTCAAAAAGGCTACAAAGTTAGTACACCTGTCTCACAGGGCACACTAAACAATTTTTGCCTGTCCTGTTGTCTGCAATAACACTACAGGCATCTCAAAACAGGCAGAAGCACAACATATTCTTCTGTGGCTTCTACGAAAAACCTAGTACTTAAGATTCCCTCTTTTTTACTTACATGTCTTTACAAAACCGGAATTTCTATTTGGGAATTAATCTGCTAAACTCTCCAAGAATGAAGCAAGCAAGCACCATCTGTCCTACTACATAGGCAGTAGTTATTGTTCATACGTTCTATTACTTTAATAAGTATCTTTCAGAATTTTTTTAAACAAAAGGCACAAAAAAATCCCAGAAAGAGTACAACCATATCCTGCCATCTTCCCTGTCCTTCTAGAAACTAAGAAAAAAATTGCTTTTAAGGTGCTGAGGGGGAAGAGCATTTTCTGTGTTCTACAGCACAAACAAACTCAGACAGATGATGGGTGTCAGGTATGGAAAGATTTTTCACTCAGTATCCAGTTGATACAAGCACCTTTTACCTGTAAGCTAAAACAAATTTCTCTTTTTGACGAAATTTCATACAGTTAAATAAAATTACCTTTCTGCCAGAGAAGACAGCCTGAGTAAATTGAGTCTCAGCATGCTACTGAAATTTAAATCAAGAATATAAATAAATTATTTTGTTCAAAATCTTGGCTTTAATTTAAAGTGACATCTTAAGAGCACTCTGTTTCTAAAATACTGGAGGGAATAACTGCCATGCAACTGTCACAAATGGACAGCTGGGAAAAGCATACGAAGCTGTCACAAAACCCTCTATCCACCTTGCACGACTTTGATGACTGGAAAAAGAGAAATATAGACCCCATTATTAAAAAGGGGAATGCAGAAGACCTGGTGATCTACAGACCAGTCAGTCTCACCTCTGTGCCAGGCAAGATCATGAAGTGGATACTCTTGAAAACTGTGTATGACGGTGCTACAGCTCTGGTGGACTGGGGCAGAGCAACTGACATCGCCCATCTAGACTTATCCAAAGCATTTGACACTGTGCTGCTGGAGAGACATAGATTTGATGGATGGGCCAGATGGTGGATAAAGAACTGGCTGTATTGATGCACAGAAAGAGTTGTGGTCAACAGTTCTTTGTCCCTGTGGAG